ACTACGACTACGACTACGTCTACTACTACTACTACTACTACTACTACTACTAGCACTACTAGCACTACTACCAACTACTACTACTAGCACTAACTACTACTACTACTACTACTACTACTACTACTACTACTACTACACTACTACTACTACTACTACTACTACTACTACTACTACTACTACTACTACTACTACTACTACTACTACTACTACTACTACTACTACTACTACTACTACTACTACTACTACTACTACTACTACTACTACTACTACTACTACTACTACTACTGCTTCTACTGCTGCTACTGCTACGACTACTGCTACTACTGCTACTACTGCTACCACTGCCACGCCCCCGACCGCTTGCTCTGTTGCCTCAGCGCGCAGGTCGAGGTGATTTTCCTCTCAGGCGCCCACGGGGACGGGAGGAACGCGCTCGCCAGGGCGCTCGGGGCGCGCGAGCCCTCGACGCAGAGGAGAAACACCGACCACAACCACCGAGAAACGATCGATGAGGGACCAGCCCTTGGGCGGTGGCACGCCTGAGCATCGTCGTGAATTGGAGCGACGATCAAGCAAGTCATCGCCCAGGGGTCGGCCGCCCAAATGGGTTCTAGGCGGTGGTGGTCCGCGTCTCTTCTCTGACCGCCGGCGCACGCGACGGCGCGCGCGGCCCACGGCCGCTCGCCAGGACGCCCGCAAGGGGCGCGAGCCAGGGCGCCCCGCCCGCCAGCGGTGCCAGCGTACGCGCGCGGCGGCAGAGGAGGCCGCCCGCCAGGGCGGCGGGGGCCTCGCCGGCGAGCTGCGAGGGCGGGGCGGTCGCCAGGGCCCCACGAGGGAGCGCGCGGGCTGCGGGGAGCCCTCACGGCAGACTCGTCAGCACGCCAGCGAGGCCCCTCTTGCGCGGTGGCGCCTTGTTGTCCTCGCTGAGCGGCTTGGCTGGGAAGCCGTACCAGATCACGCCCATCAGCTTCTCGCCCGAGCCTGCGCCCACGGCAGCCAGCACGTCCTCGGGGGCGGCGCCGAGGGCGCCCGTCATCCACTTCGAGCCGACGCCGTTGCTGGCCAGCGAGAGCATGAAATTCTGGACGGCGCACGCGACGGCGGCGTGGTCCTCCAGGCCGAGCTTCTCGGAGAGCGGGTGCTCCGACGCGACGGTGGCGACCAACATCTCGGGCACACCCTCGGCTGCCTTGCGCTTCTCCTCGTTCAGGCCGCACAGCTTCCCCCTCGTCTCGGGACCACAGCTGTAGAACCGCCACGGCTCCGACAGGAAGTGGTTCGGAGCCATGATAGCGGCTTCGAGAGCCTGCGCGGTCACCTCGGCCGGCACCTGCTTCGAGAGGTCGTACTTGACAACGCTGCGGCGCGCGAGCAGCGGAGAGAACGCTGGCGAGGTCTGGAGCCGCACGAGCCAAAGGAGCGGGGCAAATGCAGCAAGGACCCGCAAGGAGCGAGAGCCTCCCCGAAGCGGCATGGCGCTAGCCCAGGGACCCACGACGCGGTCTGGCCAGGTTTGGCACCGAACCCCTCAAGCCTCTGCCTTCCGTCAGCTTAAAATGCTCAAGCCAAGACTTGAGCCAGCCGGCTACGGACTCTCCCTTGTTCGCACACGCGCCTCAGTCAAATAGTGTTCGTTCGACCTGTGCAAAACAAAGTCGTTTCCATGGTTCTCCAGATCTCGCGGCGGGCCTCATTATCCTCCGCCCTGACAATCGCGCGCGTGTGTTGTCCGCTTGTAGGGCAAGCAGGGGTGGCCTCTGGTGGAACTCCCTATGGCCACGAATCGCTGTACTGGGTGGGCTAAAAAAACGCCAAGTTGGGTTTTCGGTACGCAGGCGGACGGTGGCACTGTGGCCTTCGGCGGAGCTCCCTGTGGGGCCACGAAACGCTGTACACACATCGCATGCATACACCACAAACGCATGCATACACCACAACGCATGTGTACACCACAACGTGTCTTTGGGGCCACCACAGCGCATGCATACACCACAACGCATGTGTACACCATAACGTCACCACAGATGATATGTCAGCATCACATGTGTGCACCACACTTCCAGCGAACACCAAAAAACTGTACGCCTCCAGGGTCCCGACGGGGCCAGAATCTCGAAAACTGCGGGGGGGGTCGAATTCAGTATATACACCATGTGAACTATGTTAACTTGTCTAGCCCAGGTACCAATGTTCATCACCTTGCGTAGCACCTTCTGTCCACACCAGCTTGTGATAGCCCTACTTGTCCCTCCTCTCTCCTCCTCCTCCTCCTCCTCCTCCTCCTCCTCCTCCTCCTCTCCTCCTCCTCCTCCTCCTCCTCCTCCTCCTCCTCCTCCTCCTCCTCCTCCCTCCTCCTCCTCCTCCTCCTCCTCCTCCTCCTCCTCCTCCTCCGCCTCCTCCTCCTCCTCTCCTCCTCCTCCTCCTCCTCTCTCCTCCTCCTCCTCTCCTCCTCCTTCCTCACTCCTCCTCTTGTCCTTCTCCTCATCCGCCTCTTCGTCCTCCTCATCATCAGCAGCAGCATAAGCATCGTCATCGTCATCGTCATCATCATCATCATCATCATCATCATCATCATCATCATCATCATCATCATCATCATCATCATCATCATCATCATCATCATCATCATCATCATCACCATCATCATCATCATCATCATCATCATCATCATCATCATCACCACCATCAGCATCACCACCATCATCATCATCATCATCATCATCATCATCATCAGCATCATCATCATCAGCAGCAGCATCATCAGCATCAGCAGCATCAGCATCATCATCAGCAGTATCATCAGCAGCATCATCAGCAGCATCAGCATCATCAGCATCGTCAGTATCATCATCAGCATCAGCACCATCATCATCATCAGCATCATCATCATCATCATCATCATCATCATCATCATCATCATCATCATCATCAGCATCATCATCATCATCATCATCATCATCATCATCATCTGCATCATCATCATCATCATCATCATCATCAGCATCAGCATCAGCATCAGCATCGACATCATCATCATCATCATCATCATCAGCAGCATCATCTTCATCAGCATCAGCATCATCATCATCATTACCAGCATCATCATCATCATCAGCAGCAGCAGCATCAGCATCATCAGCATCAGCAGCATCAGCATCATCATCAGCAGCATCATCAGCAGCATCAGCATCATCAGCATCGTCAGTATCATCATCAGCATCAGCACCATCATCATCATCATCATCATCATCATCAGCATCATCATCAGCAGCAGCATCCGCATCGGCATCATCATCATCAGCATCATCATCATCATTACCAGCATCATCATCATCATCAGCATCATCATCATCAGCAGCATCATCATCATCAGCATCATAATCTTCATCAGCATCATCATCGTCGTCATCAGCATCATCATCATCATCGGCAGCAGCATCAGCATCAGCATCCTCGTCATCTTCCTCGTCCTCGTTGTCCCACGCGAGCATGAGAAAGGCCTGCAAGCACTTCGACGCGCCAGAAAGCACCGCAGCCAGTGTGCGTACGACCACCAGACGGCGAGGGAAGCCAGACCATGCCAATACCACGACCACCTGCGACCGCCATGACAGTATGCTGAACCCTGCCAGCGCCACGATACTCTGCGATCGCCGCAATACGCCTGCGAGCGCAGGCCGTGCGCCTGCCAGGACAGCAATACGCCTGCGAGCACCGCGGTGTGACTGTGAACGCCAGAGTCTGTCTGTGAGCGCCAAAGCGGCGCGCGAGCACTGCAGGCTGTGCTGTGAACGAAGCTTGCTCGTTTAACAAAGGGGTAGATTAGACGCTCCTGGCATTGCCCTTCACCAAGGTGTATGGTCGAGGCACAGGATAGGATACAACAACTGGTGTCACGATTCCAGCCTAAACCTTGCTGGCCCCGACAGCGCTTCTGGTCAGAATCCTTGGACTCGTGCTGGATGGAAGCCGAAGCGCTCAACACATCGAGTAACATAGGCACTGGCACTGTCAAAATTACGCATCCGACGGGGGGGGGGATACTTGGCCGTGCGCACACCATCCTTTCCGTTGCGGGGCTCGCGGGAAGACCCCCCTGTCGCAACAGTTAGACGTAACGGAGTACTACAATGTGTGTCAAGTGTGTCATGAGATGTCTGCATTTGCTCTAAGGCCACCACCACCATCACCCTTTCTTCGCACGCACCCATAGAAACCAGCCCACCCCTGGTGTTGCGTCCCGGCGATGCGTTCGGACGCGGGGGTGCCCCAGGACAGCCCAAGCCGCTCCAAGACGGCTGCAAGATGTGCCAAGGCCAGCCCATGAAGGCCCAACGACACCCGAAAATGCTCTAAGATGCCCTCAGGCGGTCCCAACACACCACACGGGGCGTCCAAAGCAGCGAGACCAGAAATTACCCTGGCGAAGAACACAACCATATGCAATTGTGAGTGCCGCCGTTGTGAGCATCGCCTGCGGTTGATCTCCCAAGGAGGCCACGGAGCGTGTGAAGCATGTGCCGACATGGGGCGGGACCGCCATGTGGGCACTGCCGCTGGGGCCGGAGGTGGAGCTCCTTGCGGGGGCAACGAAACGCGCGAGGGATGTGCCGAAAAGGGGCGAGGCCGCCATGCGAACTCCCTATGGGACCACGAAACGTGTGCGGGGTGTGCCGAAATGGGGCGCGGACGACATGCGAACCCTGCCACTGGGGCCTTCCGTGGGGCCCCCTACGGGGCCACAAAACGGGGCCGTCGGTGGAGCTCCCTACGGGGCCACGAAACGTCCGAGGGGTGTGCCGAAATAGGGCAGGGCCACCATACGAACCCTGCCACTGGGGCCTTCAATGGAGCTCCCTACGGGGCCACGAAACGCGTGAGGGGTGAGCCGACATGGAGCGGGGCCACCATGCGAAACCTGAAACGGAGGCCTTCGGTGGAGTTCCTTGTGGGGCCACGAAACGTGTGAGGGGTGTGCCGAAATGGGTGGCGGTGACGCCATGCGAACCCTGCCACTCAGGCCTTGGGGACACGAAACGTGTAAGGGGTGTGCCGAAATGGGGCAGGGCCGCCATGCGAACCCTGCCACTGGGGCCTTCGGTAGAGCCCCCATATGGGGCCACGAAACGAGTGAAGGGTGTGCCAAAATGGGGCGCGGACGACATGCGAACCCTGCCACTGGAGCCTTTGGTGGGGCGTCCTATGGGGCCACGAAGCGTGTGGGAGGTGTGCCGAAATTGAGCGGGGCCGCCACGCGAACTCTGCCGCTGGAGCCCTCGGTGGAGCTTCCTATGGGGCCACGAAACGCGTGAGGGGTGTGCCGAAATGGGGCGGTGCCGCCATGCGAACCCTGCCACTGGGGCCTTCGGTGGAACTCTTCGTGGAGCAACAGAACGTGTGAGGGGATGTGCTGAACTGGGGCGGGGCCGTCATGCAAACCCGGTCACTGGGGCGTTCGGTGGAGCTCCCCATGGGGCCACGAAGCGTGTGAGAGGTGAGTCGGAATGTGCATGGTGAGGGCCGAAGCAGGGATGGGAGAAGCGAGGGAGGAGAATGAGGAGGAGGAGGAAGAGGAGGAGGAGGAGGAGAAACGCAGAGCACCGTCTCGTCAAAACGAGGACCCAACACCACAGGATGGCCGGGAAACAGCGTCCTCCAGTGTGGATTGCTGCAGATGCTGTTCGGCCGACGGTCGCGTTCGGGCAGAATCAAGGAGCTCCGGCAAGACGGCCCGAGGCCGCCCAGAGAGGGCTCCAGGACGGCCCCGAAACCCGCCAGGGCGCACCAGAGAGGGCTCAGCCAAGCATCTTCGGGAGGGCGCGGAAGAAAGAGTGCATCCGAGGCGGCCCCGTCCTCTCGCCATCGGTTGCCCTGCTGGCCACCCGTTTGACTGCTTGGGGCCCAGGCGCCAGCATGCTGATGCATCATGGTGATGGCGGCTGTGCTTGTAAAGCAGCACCACTCGAAGCGAGGATCATGGCGACGGAGGTGAGGGTGAAGATGATGGTGTCGATTACGAGTCGCCTCCCAGTGCAGTCCCCTCAGCTTGCAGGAAAACAGTGGAGAGCGAACTGTATTAAAGCTGTTCACCGTCACCTGACAAGTTCAGATGGTTCGGGGCGGGAGTGCTGGTCACAATATTCCTAAGGAAGATAACGAAACAGGATGATGCTGAGGAGGAGTGTCCATCTACGAGCTTCAGCTGACGAGCTGTGTCCATCGAGCAGCTTCAGCTGACGAGCTGTGTCCATCGACTACTGAGGAAATAGCCCAAGCGGCTCAAGGGTTTAGTGGGTTCTAAGAGGCTTGTGGTGACCGCGAGAGCGCACCCGACGAGCGCGCCGCACGTGCAGCGACGAACTTGTCAGAGCACTCTGCGAGGCCTGGATGGCCACCTACCAGACCACACCAACCTAACCCGAAGACCCAAATTTCGGGTTTGGGTGGGGTACGGGATGCAAATGTGCTTCTTCGGTGTTCCCCGACGCCCCCCCACATTGGGCATGTGGGGCAGATTGGAGCCTTCGGGTTCAATTGAGGTGGCTTAGTGGGTGGTGATTGAAGTTCAGCTCAGCTGTACATGACCTCTGTTCGTGCGGTGTACTTGGTGCCTCCGCGCACAGGGCTGCCCTTATGGAGGATGGACTGATCGAAAACCAACGCCATTCCTGTATGCGGCACGACGTCAATGCCTCGCGCAACGTCCTCAGTGTCGTCTACATGGCAAAGGCGTGTGGCCCCGCCCTCGAAACCTTCATTCAAATACAGCTGTATTGTAACTCGACTGATCTCGCCATCCACGACTGACCGGCCATCAACATGCTTTGCGAAACCTGCATTGGCGTCTGTGTAGCGCAAGCAACGGAAGCAGCTGTTGACCCTCACGGCCGTCAAGGGCTCGAATGCACTCGGTGGTATCATGGAGTGCACCTTCTCCCAAATTCGAGCAGCCAACGACTCGTCGTAGAAAATTGATCGATCAGAGTCGCGGAGAGAAAGATTTACCAGCGACTCCCCAGCCATGTCCCCACTGCCGAGTCCGTACTCCAGGCACGCCGCGTGCCATCCAGTCTCCTCGCAGTGCCTCAAGCATGCTGCACAGTCTGCCTCGCTCAGCACACCTCCAAGCAGAAAGCAGACCTTCCCTGCATCGGCGGCCATCGGAGGCTTGACACGGAGCACGCCGCCAGGTGCAACGCCTGGTGTCGCGAGTCCTCGCTGAAGCGGCGGCAGATGAGTATCGTTTATCCGATCCCCATCCCCAGCGGCGTGGCCTGGGCCCCACTGGCCGATTTACCCCCCTAGATGGGGACACAGGCCGTCCCCTTCGGGCTTCGAGGGGTGTATCCCCAACTGGGGTGGTCATTTGGTGGGGGTCTCAACGGGGATGGGGATGGGAACGGGGACTGGACAAACGATACTGAGCAGGGGATGACCTGCCTCGGGGCACACCTCCTTTAACGGGCGAAGAACGGTATAAAATAAACTTTTCGCTGTCGGGGGCGCCTGTTCCTGGGCGGCTAGAAAATTGATACCCTTTCGGTGGCACCGTAGGGGTATAAACTTTCCAGCCGCCGAGGGACAGGCGCCCCCGACAGCGAAAAAGTTTATTTTATACCGTTCTTCGCTCGCTGACTCCTGCCAGAGCTGCACGGCGGCCGCGGCAGCGCTGCCTGCCGTCCCCAGAGGCCTGCCCGCCGCCCGGCGCCGCCGCAGAGCGCGCAGCACCGGCCGCAGGCCTGCTGCACCTCCGCCCGCAAGCCTCACGAGCGCGGCGGCGACGCCAGCAGCCGAGGGGCTCGAGTGGCCGTGGAGGAGCAGCTCGGCCTTGAGAGGCTCCGCAGCACTTTGGCGGCGCGCACAAGGGGGCGGGGGAAGGGGGGAGGGCTTCTTAGAAGCAGGCTGCTTCTTAGAGGGCGCCCGCCTTACACCTATAGATGAGGCCAAGCGCCTTCTAAGAGGCAGGGGCGCTTCTAAGAGGCCCTCCCCCCTCCCCCCACCCCCCTCTGCGCGTGGCTGAGCACTGCTTCGCTCGCCCGCCCTGGCGGCCCGTCGCCTCGTCTTTTGAGAATCGCTCTCGCGGGCTGCCGGCACAGCCTTCGCAGCAGTGCGCACGACTGCTGGCATGGGCGTCGAGGGTCTCTGAGGAGCTGCCCAATGTCAGGACCAGGCCCCAGGTTCCAGGCAGCCACCTTGGTGGTGGACTGCAGTCCAGCAGAAAGTGAAAGTCCTTGAGACAAACTTGCTACGGAGGCTGATCGTCGCCGTGTAGTTAGACGGCAGCGGCAAGGGCACCTGCGGCAGTTAAGATGCTGCAGAATAATTGGCAGTAGAGGCGATGATGGAGCTGTTGGGGCGCGATTCTAACGTATGGAATGTCTGGATTATGAATGGAGTGGAAGAATATCCGCCCAGTCCCCCCTGGCACGTTGAGGCGTGCTGGAACGGGTAGGGAGTATGTAATCGTCTACCCTCTCGAAGGGCTGGCCCACACCACCGAGGCCACAACCCCTTTTAAAAATTACCGCAGGTTCGCGCTCTCGAGGCGACAACGCAACGAAAAATCCAAGACGGTCCAAGAGGGTGTCCCGTGGTACTCATAACGGCCTGCGAAGGCCCGTCGACGACCCAAGACGGCCCCACGACGGCCCTACGATATCCACCATACGGCCAAGAAGGCCCCAAGATGGCCCACGTGAGCCCCAAGACGGCGTAAGAGGGCCCCAAGACAGCACAAGAGAGCCCCAAGGGACCCCCAAGACTGGTTCACATGAGGCCAAAACAGTGTCAAGGCCAGAACGAGCTCCATGAGAGATTCTCAAATAGAGAAGACGGAACGTGTCGCATGTGACGGTATTCCTATCATTATTCCTCGTGCTCCTCCTCCTCCTCCTCCTCCTCTTCCTCCCCGTCATCATCATCATCATCATCATCATCATCATCATCATCATCATCATCATCATCATCGTCATCATCATCATCATCATCATCATCATCATCATCATCATCATCATCATCATCATCATCATCATCATCATCATCATCATCATCATCATCATCATCATCATCATCATCATCAGCATCAGCATCATCAGCATCAGCATCATCAGCATCAGCATCAGCATCATCATCATCGTCATCATCATCATCATCAGCATCAGCATCAGCAGCAGCAGCATCAGCATCAGCATCAGCATCAGCATCGTCAGCATCATCAGCATCATCATCAGCATCATCAGCATCATCAGCATCATCATCATCAGCATCATCATCAGCATCGTCATCATCATCCTCATCACCGACATCACCGCCGTCACCGTCACCATCATCATCAACAACATCAGCATCATCATCCTCGTCATCGTCAGCAGCATCAGCATCAGCATGATCAACTACAACATCAATACTCAGCATCAGAATCCTCACCCTCGTCCTCATGAGTGCCTGCCCACTCTCGAGCAGTCGCCACCCAGAATGCTGGGCTGGCACGGTGGCAGGACGTGCCACAGGCAGCTGGATAAGTGTAGATCACGCTGGGTGGGAGGGGTCACCGCAGCCGCCTCCAGGAATGCCTGACAAAAGGTCAAAAACCCATCCTGGAATCAGTCTTCAAACAATTGAATCCCACCAGCCCTCTGGGCGTCGGTGGTTCAGGGAGTTTCCTCTTCCAACCCTCCTTCTTCCCCTTCGGGGAGGGGTTTACCCCTCCCCCTGCACCCTTCCCATGGACCTGGACAGAGGGTTCCGCGAGGTGTCGGAGCGTCCAAAACGGCCTCGGCGGGGAAGCCAAAGTCATTGGTTTGACTAGGGTTTTGGACCCAGTTTGTCCTCCTGAGGGGGGGGGACCCTAATTAGTGCTCCCCCCTCCTGTGATCGATCTTACCCAAGATGGCCCAAGGATGGCCCCCAAGGCTCCCAAGGGTGCCCCAGGAGGGCCCCAAGAGGTGGCCAGGAAGCCCCCTGAGGCCCCCAGGATGCCCCCAAGAGGCTCCCAAGAGACCCCCAAGAGGCCCCAAGAGACCCCCCAGAGGCACCCAAGATGCTCCAAGGGGCCTCGGCGAGAATGCCAGATCATTGATTTCACTACGGTTTTAGCCACATGTTGGCCTCTTGGGGGGGGCCTGATTAAGATGACTCCAAGAGCGCCTGGGAGAGCCCAAGATGACCTCCAAGATGGCTCAAGATATCCCAAGATGTCTCATAATGGATCCCACGATGCTCCAAGATGCCCCAAGACCGCTCCAAGGCGGCTCCCAGTGGCCAAAGAGCTCCCCCAGGAGGCCCCGAAGAGGCCAAAACCTGAGGAAATTCTGTGTTTGGTTTTCTCGCCTTTTCGCTTCCGAAAGATGGCTCCAAGATGGCCCAAGAGGGCTCCAAGAAAGGCTCCAGAGAGCCCCAAGGCGGCCCCAAGAGCGCCTACCAGCGCTCCAAGAGCGCCCCAAGAGCGCCCCAAGAGGCGATTGGTTGGGCTCCCGAGGGGCAACGCTAACTAATGCTCGCTTCTTGTTTGGTCGATGTCCCCCAAGATGGCCCCAAGAGCGCTCCCAAGGCTCCCAAGAGCGCTTCTAGAGGGCCCCAAGAGGCGCCCAGGAGGCCCCAACAGGCGCCCAAGAGGCCTCCAAGATGCTCCCAAGAGACCCCCAAGAGGCTCCAAGAAGCTCTCCGAGGCACCCAAGACGCTCCAAGAGGCCTCCACTGGGGGACCCTTCCTCTGTGTGCTGCCCACTTCCCTGATCGAGGCAATTCCTCTGGGCATCGTTTCTGGATGGGCTGGTGGGGTTACGCGAAGCATCTAGAAATTCAACGGTGTGGTACACACCATGTCTGTAAAGGCGCGAAGCACCTGAGCAAGATACATGGTGTCGCCCAGGAAGCCCTCGCTCCGCCCCTTTTCACCTTCCCCTCCCCTCTTCCCCCCCACCCTTCCTCGGTTCGTCTCCTCACATCGCCCCTCCTCGCCCCCCCCTCCCTCGCCCCCCTCCCGCCGCATCCTCGTCCCAACACTCCTCCGTTCCCCCAGTCCCCCACCACATTCCCTCCACACCCTCCTCGCCTCCTCCCGCCCTCGCCTCCCTCCCTCCGGCGCCATTCTCACATGCACCCCCACTCTACGCCCTCCCCGCATATCGCCCCGCTTCCTCGCAAACGGCTCGCTGCCCGAGGCACTGACGACGGGCGGCGTCGTGGTCGTCGTGGTGGTCTGCGGCCAGAACAGCCAGGCGAGGAGGGGCGCCAGGAGGAGCAGGAGACCCAGCGGGATCTGGGGCGCGGGGGGGAGAGGTGGGAGGGGGACGGAGAAAGAGGGAATGGGGCAGGGAAGCAGGGAGGAGAAGAGCAAGGGGAGGAAGAGATGATGAACATAAAAACTGAGATTCGGCCAACACAAATGCATACACACGCACACGCACACCGATATAAAAAAATACACGTACACATGCATATACGCATGATACATACATAGAAACAACCATACACGTATGCATGTACCGATGCATGCACACATGTATATATATAAAAATATTCATGTACAAATACATATACCTATACATGTACATATATATACATATATATACATATACATATAAATGTACGTATTCATATATATGTGCATATGCATACACAGTAGCATAAACATAACTATAATACTACAGACATGCAGGTATATATACATATACTTATACACATACATATATATACATATATGTATAAACAAATGCATGCACACAAACATGCACATACAGATATACACATACATACACCTATACATGTATATGTACAAGTTTCCATGTGTATATATATATATATATATATATATATATATCTATATGTGCGCATATACATGCATACACAAATAAATATTATAATATGGCCCGCCTCGTCTACACGAGTGCAATAGTTGACCCAACAAAACAGAGCAGACCAGAAGTGACGAGGGACGCGGATGAGGCGATGATAGGCTGCTTAGCTTTTCCGGGTATGTGTGAAGCACGAACCAGGCGAGCGGCAAGTCAGAGCGCAGCCCTCGAGTGCAACGGCAGGCCTGCAATGAATGAAGAGCACCGAAGGCCAGCAAGACACAGATGAGGCCCCGTACCCCATAAGGAAAGAATGGCCGGCTGGGCGCAGGTTAGCCGGCCGAAGCGAAGTAAAACGGCGACTCGAAAAGAGAGGAGCACTCTGGCAAACGACGGTGGAGCAAATATGCCCAGGTGAACTACTTGCACACTAAGGCCGCCATGGCCTGCCTAGGACGGGCGATCACCGCATGCTTGATAACTTGTGCGATGGCCGAGGACATGCGCATGGGGTGAGCAGCGAAGTGCACTTACAGCCGGCGGGGCTCTGGCCAGACAAGATGACGTGTTTGTTGCCAGTGCGCGAACACATGCCACGGTGCCCAGAGAACCGCAGGGACAGACTGTCGAGAGGGCCAGTGCACCACGAGACAACTCTAGTTCGTTTGCGCCCAAGAGTCCCAGACTGGCACCGATCGAAATCACAAGCACAAACTTCGGGGAATCTCAACGGGCTGGCAAAAGCGCGGCCGTGCCATATTAGAGAACTCGCTGGATTCTCTAACAGCACAAAGATATCCAGCTTCACGCACAGACGAACGATGCGACAGGCGAAATAAAAAGCGGCACTGCCGACCCGCAAACCAACAAGCTCCGACTCTGCAAGGCTGCTAATTCCCATAGGGTGGTGGCGCGACCTCAACGGACGACAGGGCGCTCGCGACCACGTCGTGCACGGGGCCCCTAAGAACACGGCGCCGACCTCGCGGCTCAGCAGCCACCCTGAGATCACATCCTCGATGCCGAATGGATGGAGTCGAGCCCTAGCACAGACATGCCCCAGCGCCCAGCAGCGGCTGCGAAGCGCCCACTGCCGCAAATAAGCTCGAGGACCACTTGTCTCCTACAAAGTGAACCGCGGCCGACGGCCCCCATGCATTGCCGCGCGAAGCGGGCGCGCACGGCTGCGCCGCTGTCGCCGGCGCAGCGACGCGCGCAAGAGCTGCGGATCACGAGCGGGCGGCTGGGCGCCTCCGCACCCTGCGGCGCGGCGCGTCGGTGCCTGCCTGCATCGCAACTGCCGGCCGCCGGGGCACCTGGCGCATGAGGGCCATCTTGTGGTCGCCGAGAAGGTCCCAGTGTCATTACAACGGTGGTGATCCGCACTGCTTGGATCCCCGCCGTCACCACGGCGACCCTGTTCACCGCATGAAGGAACGGGCACGCAAAGCTCGCCCGTCCCAATGCGTCTCCGAGGCCCCCCTGGCACCGCTGTCAGCGGCCAGGAGGCGACATCCACAGTCAGTGCGACGGCATCATCAGCCGCTCCCCGGCTGAGGCACCGCAGCAAAGCGCCCTTGCGCCTCCGTCGAAAACTCTGCAGCAATGCTGGCACGAGCCACTTTGACCCATCTGGGCGTCGTGCAAGCAGGCCCCGTCCCCCAGAGCGCCCGAACCGCCCGGGACTGAAGGGTCAAACATCTGACCTCTCCGCTTGGCCCCCTGAGCGCCCAAACCTGCGCTAAAACTGCTGAAGGAGCTCTGCGACGGCGCGCCGCGGGCGACGAGGAGACCCGAGGCCACATCACAGAGCCCAGACGGGCATCTGATGGCCAAGAAAAAACGCATTCCCAATCTCAGAACCGCGGATCCACCCAGGACTCGAAAATCGGCCAAAGACTTCGGGGTATGGTCTGCGTTCGTCGTTGCCCCCTAGGCAAAACCCGACCGCGAAATCTCCCTCCCCAAAATCTCGAAAAGCCTGCGTTCTATTCCGGCCCTCGCATTTTTACCTAACAGCTTTTGCTGATAGGTTTCTAGTGGGGTCAAAAGAGCGCATCTGGACTCCACAGGGGGGTCTGGGCGGGTGCAGGGGAGGAGGGCCGGGAACAGAGCCGGGCTCGTTTTAAGCCAACAGTCACACACTTCGTGCTCTTCGACCTCCCAGAACTCCATTCCCGGGCCACATTTTGAATAACCGGAGCCAACTGTAGGCCACTTCGTGCTCTTCGACTTCCCAGAACTCCATTCCCGGGCCACATTTTGGATGCCCGGAGCCAACTGTAGGCCACTTCGTGCTTCTTCGAGTTCCCAGAACTCCATTCCTGGGCATGATTTTGAATGCCCGGAGCCAACTGTAGGCCACTTCGTGTTCTTCGAGTTCCCAGAACTCCATTCCCGGGCCACATTTTGAATGCTGAGACAGGCTGAGGCTGAGGCTGAGGCAGGCTGAGGCTGAGGCAGGCTGAGGCTGAGGCCGAGGCTGAAGGCAGACTGAGGCTGAGGCTGAAGCAGGCTGAGGCTGAGGCAGAGGCAGGCTGAGGCTGAGGCAGGCTGATGCTGAGGCAGGCTGAGGCTGAGGCTGAGGCTGATGCAGGCTGAGGCTGAGGCAGGCTGAGGCTGAGGCCAAGGCTGAAGGCAGACTGAGGCTGAGGCTGAAGCAGGCTGAGGCTGAGGCTGAGGCTGAGGCTGAGGCTGAGGCTGAGGCTGAGGCTGAGGCTGATGCTGAGGCAGGCTGAGGCTGAGGCTGAGGCTGATGCAGGCTGAGGCTGAGGCAGGCTGAGGCTGAGGCCGAGGCTGAAGGCAGACTGAGGCTGAGGCTGAAGCAGGCTGAGGCTGAGGCTGAGGCAGGCTGAGGCTGAGGCTGAGGCTGAGGCTGAGGCTGAGGCAGGCTGAGGCTGAGGCTGAGGCTGATGCAGGCTGAGGCTGAGGCAGGCTGAGGCTGAGGCCGAGGCTGAAGGCAGACTGAGGCTGAGGCTGAAGCAGGCTGAGGCTGAGGCAGAGGCAGGTGAGGCTGAGGCTGAGGCAGGCTGATGCTGAGGCAGGCTGAGGCTGAGGCTGAGGCTGATGCAGGCTGAGGCTGAGGCAGGCTGAGGCTGAGGCCGAGGCTGAAGGCAGACTGAGGCTGAGGCTGAAGCAGGCTGAGGCTGAGGCTGAGGCAGGCTGAGGCTGAGGCAGGCTGAGGCTGAGGCTGAGGCAGGCTGAGGCTGAGGCTGTGACTGCGACTGCCGTTGCCACTGCGATTGTCATCGCGAATGCGACTACGACTGCGAGAACAGCAGAATTCTACAACTGGATTCTGATCCGAATCTTAAGGGGAATGCTTCCAGATATGCTCCTACACATCGCTGTTAGGTTGCTTTGCCGGGATAATATGGATTGGGCGTCTTTTTTGCGTTTGTGGTCTGCCCCGCGGTGCCCCTCCGCATTGGAGGACCGAAGCCAAGCAGAGACCACCCCCCGCGGGGACGGACGGGCACCCCCACGGCAGCCGCCGCCGGCCGCCCCCCACCCCAGACGCCCAGCTGGCCATCGCTCGGACGTCCATTCCCTGTGTTTGTTTCGGTTTCGTGCGTGTTTTTTTCGCGAAATGATCAATGATGCTCCTCGATGGCCCTTGCCAAGAAAAAAATGCACACGTCCGAGCGATGCCAAGCCAGGGAGGGAACACCCCGGGCCCCAGATTTTCGAGGCGAGTCCAGCGGCGCTGCTGCCGAAGGCGGCCTACCATTCTGGGCGTGGAGGCCGTTCAAGATACGGTCCCGCCTCGTGGCCCGCATCTTCTCTGCGGCCGAGGCCGCTCGACCCTTCGGGATCGGCCCATGCACTCTCTCTCTTGAGGTAGCGGGCGCCGCTCTCGGCGTAGGCCCCGCACACTCGGCAAACAACGAAGCTCAAAGCGAAAGTAAGTTGGAACCACGTGCCTTTTGCTCCAGCGGCAGATTTTGGAACGCCCTTCCGAAATCAGCCCGAGGGCCAGAAAAGGACGGGCATCCTTTGCTCCAGCGGCGATTTTTGCAACGCTGTTCAAAACCCGCCTTAGGGCTACAAAGGCAGATTTCAGAGTGTCAGCCCATCTGTTTTCGTTCTCTATGCCGAGCAATTGCCACAACTGTGCTGTGGAGCACGTCCACCCTGTCACCCCTAGGGTGGCGGTCCGGCTTGCTGTGGCGCAGGTCCCCCTGTCGATCCGCTCTGCTGTGGGGCAGGCCCCCCTTGTCATCCCTAGGGTTGCGAGGAAGCCTGCTGTGGAGCAAGTCCCCCCTGTCACTCCTAAGGTGGCAATACGTCCTGCTGAGGAGCAGGTCCCCCCTCTTCGGGATTCAGGCGCGTGCTTCACGCCCACACACGAAAATTAATCCAACGGTGCGTTCGTTGTGCACCAAGGTCCAGCTGCACCAATCGCACTTCACACGAAACCAGGGGCCACACAGCTCCTGGTTTCCGTGGCTTTACGTCCCTGGGATGGGTTCTCCTCAATGATGGAAATCGACGCTGTTGATCTTCCTCGTGGGTCATCGTTTGACCGACTTGGGGTCCTTTTGGGACCCGCTGGAGGTCTTCCTGCTGCTCTGGCAGGTCCCAACACGAAGATCTACGCTTTTGCCTTTCTTTATAGGCCATCCTGTGACCGCCCTGGAGGGCCTTTTTGGGACCCTCCTGCGGTCTTCCTGCGGCTATGGCAGGCTCCTAGCCCAGAGCGACCTTTGTTCCATGCGTTCTCGACCGCGATGGCCGCAGGCCATATCACATGGGGTTAAGGTTCCCCTTAAGCCATATCCCTTCAAATCCTCCCCCTCCTCCTCCTCCTCCTCCTCCTCCTCCTCCTCCTCCTCCTCCTCCTCCTCCTCCTCCTCCTCCGCCTCCTCCTCCTCCTCCTCCTCCTCCGCCTCTTCCTCCTCCTCCTCCTCCTCCTTTTCCTCCTCCTCCTCCTCCTCCTCATCCTTTGACGACGACGATGACGACGACGAAGAGGACGACGCCAAGCGGCGGGGACCAACAAGAGACAGCAGCTCGACGACGCACCAGGGATGCGCACGACGCCGAACGTCCCAGCCCCACCGCCAACGTACCTGCGGGCCAAGGCAGGACGACGACGACGCCGCCGCCGACGACGTCAGCGACAGGAAGGGGGGAGCAGAAGCAGTAGGAGGGAGAAGAAACGGAGGCAGTGGAAGAGGCGGAGGACGAGCTGGAGGAGCCAGGGGAGGCGGGTAAAGTAAAGGAGGGGGAGGCGGCGGAGCAGGAGCCGGGGGAGGCGGTGGAGCACACAACTCTGGCCCGATGGTCTGCAATAATACAGGACTGGCCCAGCCTACGGGCGCGAGATCAAGGTCCGCCGGGGCAGAATGGAGGAGGAGGAGGAGGACGACGAGGAGGAGGAGCCTCCGTATCGTCTTCAATTTCTTCATCCACCTGCTGGAGGAGGGCGAGGAGGAGCAGAACAGAGGAGGGAGAGGTTCCCCCTTCCGCTCAACGAGGAGGAGGAGGTGGAGGACGAGGAGGAAGAGGAGGATGAAGAGGAAGAAGAGGAGGACAGAAAACTGGCCTCCCATCCAATCCCCACCTGCCCCGCCCATCCCCCCTCGCCCTCTACCCTCCCCAAATCCCCCGCCTTACGAATGTCGACGGTTCCTGGCACCGCCAGTACCGTGGAGAATGGGGCGACTGCAGGATGCGAGCGCCCTCTCCCCATCAAATTACCTTGCCCCCCTGTTTGCGCCGTCCCGGCTCCCACCGACGAGCAAGCCCGACGAGGAGCTGAAAGGGAAAAGGCATTAGGGCCGGCAGGAGACCCCTGTGGTCACCGCCCCCCGCCTCTCCGACGCCCTCGCCTTAAACGGCAAGGGCGATGCGCTGTGGTGGCGTTTCGGCCACGGAGGTTTCCCCGAGGCGAGCAGTCTCTTCCGGGCCTTGACGACCTCGTCACAAGGCCCCAGGAAACGACGAGGGGTGCCCGAGCAGTAAGCTCTGCACCTATTGCAGAAAGCAAGGTCCACCCCCATGTCCAGAGAGCGGACAACGCGAAGGACATGGGCCTTACCACCCCGATCGGCCTCAAGACTCGGAGTTCATTGACCGCACGCACTGCCGCTGCCAGGGGGGCCATGGAACACCCAGCACAAACCACGCATTGCAAGCGCGCTCCGTTCCAGAGCACACGATGCCGGGCTCCAGGATACAGGGCCCGCGGAGCTCTACTATATACTTACTCTTGGCAACCGAAATCCATGTAGCACACAGAGAGGTACAATTAACTTATATGGCATGGACCCAGGGGAGCATCAGGGCTCATCGTTTCGCAAACTCATCGGCTCAGTCCCTCCCCGCTACGTTCAGCTTCTCGGAGTCTGAAACGCCCTCGGTGCTCTTGGAGTGGGCCTCAACCATGGCGAGCCACAGACAAGGGAAACGACCACCTTGCACCGTTCTCCAGAAGTACGCCGATGGGGACGGCCCACCGATGCTGCTGCACGGTAGGCCGACGCCCTTCATGAGGGCCGCGCAGCCGACTGCCGCCGCGAAGCTCTGCAAGTCGGGCCTCGCCTGCACGAGTCCTCGCAGCACTGGACCGAAAATGGCCCGTTTGAAATTCCCTGCTCGGTCGGTGGCCACTGCGGCCCAGCCCGCCCCGGCCCCTCCCGACGCTGAGAATCTCAGCCCGTAGCAGCCCCCATCAATCAGAGATCTCGCCGCCCCCCTCGCACTCGAGCCACCCCCGAGGCGCCCAGGAACTCCACCTTTTCCTCCGTTTCTGGCGGGGGCTGGGGAGCGGGCGCGGGCATCCACAACCTGGCACGCAGCGGGCCGCGCGAGCCTGCTGAGAGGGACGCGTGGGCCTCGACTACTCTTGCCCGCCCCTGCCCCTCGGCGATGCACCCCCGCGCGCGGCGCCAGGGGGGGTCAGGAACAAGCTTGCACGGGCTGCACAGCAGCGAGGCCCAGTGGCCCCAGCTGCGGAGCTTCGCGGAGACCATGTGGCCACCGCGGAAAAACCTGACGGACGATGCGACCACGTCTGTCGGATCGCCCCGACCCCCCCCAGAATGCCCGACGCGGGTGAGTCCAGAGCACCAAGGATTGGATCTCAAGATCGTGATTTGAGAGCTCGCCGAGGCCCGCGAGACAAAGGGCGCGGTGGGGCCTCCGCGACGTGCGCCTCGAAACCACTGGGCCGCTGGACCCTGGCTGCACGTCGAAAGGCCCGCGCGACCTTCTGGGCCCAGCAGAACATGTCGCCCTAGACTCAAAGCATATTGTCCCCCAGCTGGCGCGCTTACTGAAGCTGTCAAATCTGGCCTCTGCTTGGCTGAAGGCCCTGCTGGGCCCCCCCCCCCCGGGGCGCGGCAGTCGCGGGGTCGGAGCGCATCGCTGGCATTCATCCACCACCACCACTCCAATGCTGAACCGGGCCGGCAGAAGCGCGGCGACTTGAGCCCTTGTCGGGGCACGCGGCACACGCCAGGTGCACATCCTGGCGCCGCGGCCCCGCGTCGCCGAAGCCCCACGACCGCCCCCCCCCCCCCAGAAACCGACCCATGTTCACCGCGCGCAAGCCCAAACTTCACCCCACAGAAAACACCTCGGCCTTCTTTCTTCCGCAGACCAGCTGGGCCCGAGAGCGGAGCCAGGCAGGGATTCGCCGGTTGCCAACGGGCCGCCCTCTCGAGCAGGGCCCCAGGCTGGGCGCGGGCCTTGCCCGTCGCCAAGTCAACTCCAGGGTTGACGGTGGCTGGCTGACCTACTCCCGGCTAGGCGTAGACACTTGAACTGGTTGTCGCGCGACGGAAGTGCAGCTCCAAGTTGCCTGTCACACAGACCTCGTCAATGGCAACAGGGGCGGTGAGCTCCGTTGCCACACGGCCCACTAAATACGCAACAGCCTGTCGTATTCTGGCGATGACCAAGAGCATGAAGGGGCCCTCGCGGTCGAAGTCGAAATCATCGGTTTGGACATCGAATCGAAGGCAGGGCCGAGGTGTTCGGGGCGCGCAGCGACGGCTGGCAGCTTGCAACACTTCATCTCGAAAGCGGCTGCGCTCGACCGCGTCGCGACCCCCATCCAAGAGGGCAATGGCCCAGAGGCCTGACCAGCAGGAAACAGAACGCACGGCCATGGATCAGATGCCTAGGCAGAACGCAGCGCAAACCGAGAGCACGCGACGCCCGGGCCGAGACCCGCCGACTGCAATCGCACGAATCTTGACGGAGAGAGAAACAGAGAGAGAGAGAGAGATCAGAGACAGAGAGAGAGCGAGAGAGCGAGAGCGAGAGCGAGAGCGAGAGCGCGAGAGCGCGACAGCGCGACAGCGCGAGAGCGCGAGAGCGCGAGAGCGCGAGAGCGCGAGAGCGCGAGAGCGCGAGAGCGCGAGAGCGCGAGAGCGAGAGAGCGAGAGAGCGAGAGAGCGAGAGAGCGAGAGTGCGAGAGAGCGAGAGAGCGAGAGAGCGAGAGAGCGAGAGAGCGAGAGAGCGAGAGAGCGAGAGAGCGAGAGAGCGAGAGAGCGAGAGAGCGAGAGAGCGAGAGAGAGAGAGAGAGAGAGAGAGAGAGAGAGAGAGACGGCGGATGCCCCAATGGTCGGCGCACCCAGACCAGAATCGGGGTCGCCGGCCAAGATCGTCGACGGCCACCTCGCGGCCCGCGCGAGCCACGCTTGAGACCGCGGACGTTCCTGGCCCACCAACGCAGCCACGAGACAGCTGGTCTACAAACCGCCTTCGCAGACACGGCGCGAATCTCCGCGGCGGCCCTCGGCAACTTCGGCGCAGGCACGGGCCCGATTGGCCCTGCCTCCAAGAGCCTGTTCGCACCCGGCCTCGGCCTTCCACCCCCCGCAGCCCCCGTCTTTCCCCGAGGAAGATGATGGCGAGATATGTCTAGGGCCCCCCCGGCCCAGAGCTCAGGCCCGCAGCGCCCAGCCCGAAGTCCCAGGCCAGGGCTTCCAGACACTGGCCCCAGCGGGGCCCGCCTGCAGGTCCCGGACGATGACGGCCAGGGCCCCGGGGCCCATGGACGCCGCGCGGGGCGCCCCGAAGATCGCGCAAAGGAAGATCTCTCCCCGAGCCCCGCCAGCGCGGAGCAGCGCGACGACCTCCAGGCAGCGCCAGTGGACCCACTGCAGGGCTCGAACGCTGGACTCGGTCGGGGCGGCGCCCACTCGCAGCCGGGAGCTGCGGCGGCGAAACAGATGATCATGCGCTTCTCCATCAGGGGCCCCTCGCTCGGAATGCGTTTGGGAGACGTCGCGTAGTTTGCCTCGCGCGCTACTGCGCCGGTCCTTCGTGGCGCCGTCGAGGGCCTCTTTCCAAAAAGCCCCAGTCATCGGGGCCCTCGGAATCCCCGGAATCCGATTCTGGAGCTCTGGGACGGGGGCCCACGCGAAGAACTGCAGGTAGCTTCTGCACATGAACAAGGCGCGAAATCTTCTTGCCCCCAGGAGAAGCCATCACATTTGAAAACACCAGCTCGCGCGGCGAGAGCTGCGCCCAGTGTCCGCGACGCTGTTCGCCACGGCTTTGCACCACAAAGAAATCGCAACACTTCCTTGCGCCCCCAACCACGCATGCGACAGGACGCGAGGGCGTCACAACCTTCCCCTTACACTTGCGCGGTGGAAGGGCGGTTTGTCGCCCAGCGACACGGAACCCCTGGTCGCGGCACCCTGCAAAGATGAACGGGAGCCCATGGGCCAGGACGCGGGGCCCCACGGCCTGCGCGAGCGCGGTGTTTTCACCGTTCAGACATGCGCTACCCCGCCAGAAGTTACAGTGCAAGGCGGCAGCGCCCATTTTTTAATGCGGATGAAGATGCCCAGCACCCCATGAGGCCACGCGAGCGAATCTGCTGGCTGCCACGCATACAAACAACCTCGAACTAAGATAGCTACACAAAACGACATTCCTGAAACCGCGTGATGACCTTCCGACCAAGACGGGCGCCAACCACCCTTAACTAAAGACTGCTTCTCTTCAATGCTGCGCTCGCGCGTGAGCATGTGCCCCTGCACGAAAAATACTGCGAGAGCTGCTGGCTCTGATGAACCTCTCGGCCGAGCCCCAGCCGGAGCCGTTGATC